CGCCTGGTCGATCCGGTGGTTTTCTTGCTCTCGGAGGAGGTTCCCCCTTATCGTTCCCTGACATCCTAACCTACCAGTCAGAGTCAGCGGTAATCTGATTAAGGCCCTATCTAATTTCCAAACGATCGGCAGCAGGTTGATGCGCGACGCGGATGGTGGTGATAATAATATAGAGACTTCTACACTATGGGCACTGCCTACCCCTTTCACAACGAAAGGGTTGGGGGAAGTGCAAAGGTGGCACTTTAATGCGCGACTAGGCACAGAATGCACGAAACGCATAAAGTGCCAAGAATCACCTAGGGGCCGGTGACCTCGACGCCTCACGGAATCACGGGACTCGACGTTCGGCGGAGTATGTCGTACCGGCGGTTAATTGCAGCCACTGTATACTGCAAGTAACGCACACCTAGGAGATCCTTACGGGTTCCCGGCGGGTGGCGGCGAGCGGAGCTCCCGAAGCTGTACCGCACGGAGACTCAGCCACTTCTGATTTCCTGAGACGCTTGTGAAGTTAATTAGTTTATAGAAACACCTTCTGAAATAATTTTGTTCTCATAAATAGGAAGTCATTTGGCGTTTACGTGGTTATTTTTATAATAACATTTCAATTACTTAAAATCGTATTATATTATTACCGTGCTCGGAATGCTTGTAAACCATATATTGGTAACGAACAGCTGTCAGTCTTAACGGAGGTGTGTCCTACGTGCTTTCAGAGGCACGGAGGTGAAACATGGCATATCTCGTGACTTTAGGTTGCTACTGAAAATTTCTTGTGAGAAAAACCCAATAACTAATTTTGACCCAACCTTGGATTCGAAACCTCAACAATATGATCTACAATGGTGCCTACGACTACCACTAGACCAATGAGGCAGTAACCACTACAATATCGGCAGTAAGTTCACATGCTGAACCAGACACATGAGAATCTTCATTATGTCTTGACCCCGACTGGAAATTAATTTACCTGACTAGATTAAAAAACCACAGTAATTTTTAAGAAATATATTTATTACTTAATGATTTTTGACATTGAACTAATTTATAATATTATCTCACGTTTATTTTAAACAATTTTTTTATTTCCTGACGTTTCATGTGCTTTACCCATGGTCACAGGGTGACGTCGGACTGAAAAAAGCGAAGGAGCTGAGCGCTCGCTATAAATTTCACAGTAAGCAAGTAAGCCGGGATCGATTCCCGCCGACACAAATAAAATTGTTACTTGTGAAATTTGTAATTTAAAATGGCACATAGACAAACACAGTAAAAAAAGATAAACTGCTTTTTTGACCTTCATAAATCCTTAAACCTTAAAATTCTATAAAATGTTTAGTTCAACATAATTCATACTGAACATTTCCATCAAAATTCTCATATTGCCTGTTCAATATTTTGCGTTCAACTACAAATGTAAGGTAGTGCTTCTAAAAAAATTGTATTTGAAAATTTGAAAAAAATATATAATGAAAATTATGATTTTTTCTACATGATATTGAAATTTATTATTTATAAATGTGCTTGTATTAAAGGTTAACATTAAAGACTTAAAATATATGATTTCTAATAAAAAGTGGCTTGAAAATGGAAAAATTATAAAAGTTATTTACGATCGTATATTACAAAAGTTATTTAACGGAATTTTATGCGAAGCATAATTTAATAGGGTCGCATAAATTATTATTTTTCTGACCTGGGTTTGTTTGAAAATAATAAACCCTGTAATGTAACTGTCGTTTTAGAACAGTTTTAATGAATAAAAAATAAAAATGTGTACATTTGGTAACTAAAATTACCCTATAGATTGGCTTCTTTTTTCAAGAGAATTGAATAACAACCTTTTTTCTCATGAAATTTTCAGTACTTAGTTTGTAAGAATGCTAAGCCTTTTACATTATATGCGAAACGAATGCGTGATGGCAGACGTCACATATCACATGTCATATTTTGTTTAATTTTCAGCATGCAGCTTTTCTCACTATATTTTATTTTACTGCCGAGCATGTGATAAATCAGTACTCAAAAGCGAAATCAACAATTTACACTTCCGCTATATTATAGTGCTTCAGAGATGTTTACAACGTACGATACGGATGTCTTTCGTGCCATTATTTGAAAGAGAAACGCATCCCTTATGCGCAGGGTTCCTGGAAACTCCAACAGCATTCTGAGAGCAATATCAGTCTGATAGATTTGATTTTCCCTTCCTAGGGCACTGGATGCGTATGCACTTGCATATGGATGGTGTCATGGGGTGCCGAAAATAAAGATAATTGTAATTAAAATTGTGTGTGTTTTAATTTAAGGCTAACATAGGTTAAGTTAATTAGTATTATAATTATGGACTATATGTGGGTCTGAAATAAATTAAAATAATAATATTTATTATTATAACTGCCTTTTATATCTTCTGTTGTATTGGTTGAAGGAGCATGTGTCAACTTCATGCGAGTGGAAGCTGGAAGGAGGACTGAGGAAACTTTCAAGGAGACATTCCCTTGAGGTGAGCGGTAGAATCGAGACACGCTCTGCGGCTAGTAGCCTTGTTAATCATACAATTGGTGGTGATACAATACACTTACATCACCTCTGGTAGTAGTGGCCTTGCAGGTGGTAGCACTAACAGTGTTTCCCTATTATTCGAAGTGTTGCCTAAACCGTGTATTCACTGTGGCTGTATTTGATCGTTTTCAGTATGGCGTTTACACGAATTGACGTGCGTGACTTTGGTCGATTTTTGTTGATTCGCCAGTGATTTTGATGTGGACTACGCTCCAGTTCCCAACCTAACGTCCCCTTCGGGGGAAAGCGCACTAGTTGGTTGGCACTCACTGAAAAAATGTAGGAGGAGCACACTGCACACTTCGCTCCCCCACACTTTTTTTAAAAGTGTGGTGGAGCGAAGCCATTGTATAGGGGTATAATTTTAAATATAATTTTTAATTTTATATATAATTTTTTCAGCCTTTCCCAAACGGGAGGGGAGAGGATTAATTAATAAGAAATTGATATATGTATACCTGATATAAATGGAAGAGGGACGATTTATGTTCTCAACCTTTTTCGAGCCCCGTCTTCGTGAACGCGGCTCCTTAGCTTTAAGTAATATAAATCACTACCAACCAATTTCGATTGCGCTAGTAAACATTTATTCTTCCAAAAACACCTAAAAGAACTAAGTTACTAAACAAACACAACGTAAATAAAGATCTTAAACTAACATGATCACGCTATAAATATTACAAACGACCTATAACTAAACCGTTAGGAAGATACTTGGCAAGGTTTTCTGATCCTTGGGGAAGTTTATTCGGATGGTGAATTTATTGGTCCGTATTTTATTGACCACACAAGGAGTGGGGGAACTACGAATGCTTTTTGCAAGAAGACCTAAGTGATGAACTTGACGAAATAAAGCTAGACCTCGTTCGTCGCATGTGGTTTCAACACGATGGCGCACCACAGCATTTCTCCCGTTATGTAAGAAATGACGACTCCGTGGCGCAGTGGCTTAGCAATGAGTGGCTGCGCTGGGGGTCGCGGGTTCAAATCCCGCACGGAACAAGTATTTGTATGGCCTACAAGTAGTTGTTCCGGGTCTGGATGTTCGTCCTTGTGCAATTTATGTTTGTAAACTGCCCCCACAATACAAAAGAAAATCTTAGTGTAGGGGTAACGTTTTCTAAAATTAATTTAAAAAAAATCTTGGATACTGAATTCGTTGAAAGATGGATTGGCCGTGATGGACCGGATAACTGGCTGGCGCAATCACCTGATCTCACGCCTTTATATTTTTATCTCTGGTGTACGATTAAGCAGTCTGTATTCCAAAAGACATGCGATACCGAGGCGGAAATGCGTTTGCGTATAGTCGCATCCTTTGAAAAAATAAAGTCCGAAATATCTGTTACGCAACGCGTGCATTCAGCTTGTAAACCGGTTTCTTAAATGTAAAAAGGTACATGGTGGGCATATTGATCACCATCTTCGTGGTCGTAAATTAGTGTTTGTGTATAGTTATCACAATCGGTCGAAATAAAATTTTAAAAGTTGTGATTATCGAACACTAAAGTGATAACAGCTGAGTGATATGACGAGGTCACGACCTCAGTGCAGTTAGTGTAGGTATGGTGCCCACGGGCGCGCGCGCCCAGCCTTTGATATACGCCGCCACCGGCTATCGTTGCTTGCCGTTTTGATCTTGATAATTCCAGGCAGATGTAATCCGAGTCCGTACCAAACCGTCCATCCCAGACTCAACGCCTCACACGTCGTCCTCACGGGCATATAAGCATTGCGTGATAACTTCTACACAAATAAATCAAAATCCGACTGTGCATGGATGGAGTGACAGTGTGTCAGTGAGACGAATAATTATTCGGAAGAAGTGTTCAGCTGATAAGTACGGGGCTCAATTTTTTTCCAGCGATTACCGAAACGAAGCAGCGACGATTTTGTTTTTATTTTTCTAAATTACACAATAATTCAAGAAGTGCAAGAAGGGAGAAGCCGTTGTAAAAATACTACTCGTAGAAAATTTTCATAGGTAGCGGAACCCATTCAAAATATTCTGGCTACGTTAATCCATCTGCTTACTGGCGGTGTCTTTACTTCTGGCACCTATACTCGCAGCAGTCTGTGCAGATAATTGCGTCTGCAACACTACTCGTGACGGCCTTCATCGTGTAACATGTAGCAGTATAGTTGAACTCTACAACTTTACTCTTCGTCAAAAGCATCATAACATAAATATTCTTGATCTGGCACATTATAACATCACGAAGTTAAACCATGAACTTGACCGACTAACTGAATTTGTAACTTTAGACCTTTCATCAAATGGTATCACAGATCTCAATAAATTTTGCACTGTTAAGAAATTAGTGCATTTTTACCTAGCCAATAATATGATAAGAAAACTCTCTCTGACACAGTTTCCGACAAGTGTAAGTTAATTGGATTGCATCGTTTGTTGTTTTTACAGATAATGTAAAATGTGCAAGTCCTATAAGACTACAGGTCGTTCTTGGCTTGAGTTAAAGACAAAAGACGTTTGTAAATCTACTAAAATAGAAAATAATTGTTTTGATATGATGGTGGGCGATCAACCAATTGATGCAATTAAATTCGGAGAGGAAACAACTGTATTAAAATCAATGCCTCTTGTAGCAACAAATGACTTAGAGGATGGCAAAGTAATTAAAGGAATTGACATAATTGAGGATGATGATAGCGAACAGTTTATGAAAGTAGCTCATATAATAACATCATCTCCTTCGTCTTATATCGAAGGCTCTGGTGAAAACCAAAGTACGACTATGAGTGATATAATTAAAGCATTTCAGGATCATAAAGTGTATGCGAATTTGTTAGCTACAGATGAAATTATTTCCGCTAACGATTTGAATACCACTGATGATCCTATAGAAGGATCTGGTGAAGGATCTGGATTTATTATTCCAGAATATGAAGATAACACAGAACATCTAATCAAAACAACTACACCTATTTATAAATAACTTAATTCTGGGTCAGTGCATAAATTTTTTGAAGAATATTCTAGTACAGTAACCACAGAATTTCTCATGCCTGTACTACTATCAATCTTTGGGGGAGGTGCCGATTGGCACAGTAGAACATATACTTAAATTATTACCGAAGGTGCTGCGCCTGCAACGCCAAAATTACATGAGATACCAGTATTTCAGAGCAAATTAGAGTATTTCAGAAGTCTTGTATCAAGCACCGGCTAATAATGAAAATGTTGTTCCGCATAAAATGTGCACTTACATGTAAATAGCTCTAATTGTTGTACTACCAGGCCTCTATTACTCTTGCTACCTACGTGAAATAATTACCTAAAATCGCGATGCGCCCGGGCGAAATATCGCAGTCAGGGCTAGTGCGTTGGAGGCGATAGAATGTTAAAGTTTTTAACGCTGTTTACGTATATAACTTTTTGTAAATAGTGTTGAAATAGTTTTTTAGTGTTTGGTATATTTAATTATAGGTTAAAATAGTTCAAAAATTTTAATGTAATTTAAGAACTATATATTATGTATATTATATTACCCATTATTTAATAAATTTTAATATGGCAAAACGTCGTTCCTACTATAATTGTTGCGTAGATAGACGCTAAGTGACCAACAAAATATTTCAGATATATCATTCTTTATTACCGAAGGATTTTATTAGGAAGTTATGAAACGTGAATTTATTTAATTTTTATTGTTAGATAGGTACTTATATCAAAAAAGAGTTAAGTAATAATTTATTTAATATCTACGAACTTTATTACAAAATTTAGTAGAAATTTACTTCACTATCCAAGTGTCTACTTACGTATATATACTTGCTTTTTGTATTAAAATATTTTAAGCTGTTATTTTAGCTTAAAATATTTTAAACTAAAATAACACAAAACACTGAAATCAAACATTTTTAACTAAGTAGAATACGATTACATTTCTGTTAGGAATCGTATTTTAAGTTTATTTGTTGTTTATAGTGTAAATAGTGTCTATAACCTTTTCCTTCCGAGCCAAGCGTCGCGATTCCCGACAAATGGCCTTGCAAGTTGCATACGTTAGGCATCTCAGAAATCACGTAGGTGCGAATATAATGGTCTGTCGATCATAGTCAGAATAGGTATTTCACCTAAGTAACCTAATTAATATTTCGCAATGTATTTTGTTACTCTTTATTGACATCCCTCCATAACAGCTGAAAGTCCACCGCAACGTAGGAAGAGAAAAATGTGCTAAGTAATACTGACACTCTCGCTCAACGATAAAGTTTTATTTAGCTTGCGAGCGCGATTTATCTAATTAATAATAATTATGTAGGCTATTAAACGTCGGCAATCAGTCAACATTAAAAGAGTGAAACTTCTGTACGTAGTACTATTATTTATTCTGTGGTACTACTGGTTGGATTAATAGGATTTGCTATAACTAAAGGTCAAATGATAAAACGCAGGGACAGACGGCTTTTAAGACAGCAAAAGAGAGGTATAGAAAAAGCATCTAAAGAAATGGTGGATATGAATAAATCTTTATAAGGTAAACCTGCTCCAGTAAACAACCTCGGAGATAACAAATTTACGGAAAATATGAGTTAGAACCTACACATGAAACATTTCAAAAGAAAATTTATAACGGGGATCTCGGAAATGGCATGAAACATGGATCGAAGTTTGATAGTCCTAGTGATTCCAATCAAAATAAACGCAGCTCTATTGATAACAACTTAGTTGAAGAAAATCAGTTGCATCAACTAAAAAAACTTACTCTATTCGGATTAGGCATTACCTGTCAAGAAAAGATACAAACTCACTATCCAGTGAAGATATATTTGTGCCTATAAATGATGATGATAATCAAAGACTAAACGGTAATGTAGATTCAGGTGTATCTCAACCACTTATTAATGGATATCACATTTCTGATTCTGATTTCTTGGATCCATTTCGAAAGTACGTGTCCGTCTATTCGTCAGATATGGGAAGGGTTCGGATTAAAATGTCTGAGACACCGAAACCAAAATCGCCAATACTAGTCACCAGAAGTAGGTCGAATGCTGGAGATATCACTTCAGAAGATTACACCTTCAGTAGACGGAAACATGCTTAAATCAACCAGTTGAAAAAGGGAACTCATGTGTATGAGAGTATGAAATAAATTATTGTGACTGTTCTTTTTCTAGAAACGTTGCTGCCAAAGTGTGTTTGTCGACTACAAAACAGTGCCCTTTGAATGTGCTAGTGGTAAAATATATTTATATAACTAATTATATTTTGAGATAAGAACAACATATTTTTATACATGTAAAGGGTTACCATATTCATTATAGAACTAAACTTTATTATTCTTTGTACTTCAATCTAGTAGAATTCCTTTTACAAGTACATACGTAAAATAATTTGACAGATTTACACTATATTATCTAGGCAATATTTTGTTTAGTCCGAATATAATGTTTAAATTGTTAATGGTTGTGTACTTACTTTATATCGAACATTACAATATACGTTAATAATGGAACAATGAAAGTTTTGACCATTGCTAACTTTTGGTTTATATCTCTCAACTACTACCTATAAGAATGTTTCTGTTTCATGTTGTAATGTAAGTAGTTCCTTAGTAATAATAATATTAATATAATCCACATAAAATTTACAAATATTATTTAACAAATATTTTATTTTGTTATTTTTGTATCGAGTTTTCTTAAGTAAAGATATTTCTATACGTTTGGATACTGATTCTGAGAACGCACTTAACGGGAACCACAGGGTTTTTATTACATATTGTATAGATGCATTATCTAATTCTTCAAGTCAAGTTGGAATATTTTATCCGTAATCATTTAATTTCAGAAACATAAAGTTAAATTTTCAACGATAAACGAAAATAAGGATACTTTTACGACATACTAAAACAGAAACACTTAAAATTTTATGTCCAGTTTTTGTTTCATCTGAATGCAGATCAGTAGAACTGTAATTTTGTATTTGCGTGTTTTAAGATATCAAACACTATCTATGCAAATTGTCATTTTGTTGTAATAAAATTTACGTAGATACTTATATTTATACGTTTTGTATTTCTGCCGCCAAACTTCAGGTCTAACTTAAAGCATAGCAAAGAAGGCTACAGATACTCATACGCTGTAACAGAACGAAAATATCTAAGGAGCTAATTTTTTAAAGTGGGTGGTAATTTCTTATATACATTTTACTATTTTTCTTTTTATTTAAACATTAAAGCTGGTAACTCTGGCGGTAAGAATGATGAGAATGAAAGAAAAAAGGCAGAGTTTAAACGTTTAAATAAGAGAGTAAAAGAATTAGTTGAAAGGAAAAAGCAAGAAAGAACGGATAGGAATGATAGAAGAATATCGGATAACTTCCAGGCAAATATTAAAATGTACTGGAAACTCGCAAGAAATACAAGGGGACTTTCAAAACAGCCTAGATTGAATGCGATACGAGACGAGAATGGCTGTATCCTGAATGATGAAGTGTTGAGTCTAAAGAGATGGAAGGAATATTTTGAAAGCGAATTTATGAGTGAGGAGAAGTGTGAACTAAATGAAATAGAAATTCCGAAAGAAGATGAAAGAGATAGGGAGATAAGTATAGATGAAATAATGAAAGCAATGAAAAGCATGAAAGTAGGTAAGGCAGCCGGATATGATAGAGTTTCACTCGAAATGCTAAGGGCTGGAGAGGGCAGGCCTGCTGTACACCTTGTTTAATTTATGTTGGGAACTAAAGCGGGTACCGGGAGACTGGTGCAAAGCCGTGATAGTCCCAATATATAAGGGAAAAGGGTCACAGCAGGACTGTAAAAACTACCGTGGTATCAGCCTTCTTAGCATTGTGGAAAAACTGTATGCTAAGGTACTAATTGAAGGAGTTATGAAAGAAACTGATGAAAAAATTTGGGATGTGCAAGCGGGATTTAGAAAGGGAATGGGGTGTACAGATCAAGTCTTTTCCATGCGCATGATCGCGGAGAAGTTTTTGGCGAAAAACCAAAAAGTTTTTCGTGCGTTCATGGACATGGAAAAGGCTTATGACAGAGTGGACAGGGATGTGTTATGGCAAACGCTGAACGCATTTAGGTTGAGCGCTGGTTTGTTACAGGCATTAAAGTCTCTGTATAGGGACTCGAGTGCTTGTGTTAGAATCAACGGGGTCTACTCGGACTGGTTTGGCATCCATAAAGGTGTCAGACGGGGCTGTGTAGCTTCCCCGTGGCTGTTTAACCTATTTATGGACAGCTGTTTGGAAAATTTGAAAGTTGAAGAATGCGGGTTAAGAATGGGTGAGTTAACCATCAAATACCTTTTGTACGCCGATGATCAAGTCATACTTGCGTCGTCGGCGGCCGAGTTGCAAATGATGGTTACATTAATGAACAGGTCATTAAAAGAAAGGGGAATGAAAGTGAACGCAAGTAAGACGAAAGTGATGGTTTTTGAAAGAGATGAAAGCAAAACGGTATGTGAAATAAGAATAGAAGGAGAGTTAATTGAGCAAGTGGATGAGTTCGTATATTTGGTATGTGTATTCAGCAGGGATGGGAGATATGATAAGGACATTGAACGACGAGTGAATGCAGGAAATAAAGTAAATGGGGCTCTACACTTCATTGTGAAAAGTCAGAATGTGTCAAAAAAGGCACGTATGGCAATTCACAGTGCTGTATTAGTCCCTACTTTAACGTATGGTAGTGAAAGTTGGGTGTGGCAGAAGAAGCACGAGAGTAGAATAAATGCAGTAGAAATGCGGTCGCTAAGGAGTATGTTAGGGCTGAATCTGAGTGACAGGGTGAGAAACTGTGTGATAAAAGAAGAGTGTGGTTTACAAGATGATGCGGTGACCAGGATTAAGAAAGGAATGCTTCGGTGGTTTGGTCATGTAGAAAGAATGAATGCGGAAAGACTGACAAAGCAAATATATGTTGCAGAAGTGAATGGAAGAGTCGGAAAGGGACGTCCTAGGCGGAAG